CTCGGTGCACCACAACCTCTCTTGCTACACACGAGAGTAGGTGCTCTCGGTTCGATTCTGGTCGAACCAAGTGACTATACCAGATGGAAAATGATACCGAAGTTAGGTAGCATAACTTATGCCCGCAGGTGAGCTCGGGCTTGATTTCAAGCCTTTTTGATGTCCTCTAGTTGGATTTTGATTTGCACCCCCCCCCCCCCCCGCGCGAGAGAGCCTCTATGCTATACAATTCTACAAGCTTGAAAAGAGCTCATGTATATAAGGGTGGCAAATCTTGTTTCCAAACCAATGTGGGACAAAGTCCTACATTTTCCCTTCATTTCCCAACTTAAATGGGTCTACTTTGAGAATCAATATCTCATTCACCCATTATCCGTTTTGAGCGTACAATATATCAATCTCTTCGTCTCACTACGAAGAACCCGAATCCACTTTGACCCGACCCAAATCGGAAGTGGACCCCACTGATAATTGTACCACAAAATAGCCACTTAATATGCCATTTTAAGCTAATTTTTCCAACAGAGTTTAACATGTACTACAATTATCGCTATATATCAGCATGTGAAGCCACCTAGCGGTTTTTTGAGTACATGGTACATTATCGCTCCCCACCTGTAGAGAGGTTAAATTTCCACTTAGAGCACCAATAGAATGTTGTCTATGGGGAAGATCAAACCCTCGATGAGATCGTCGAAAACCAAACGGTTAAGCAGAGCCAGTTCAAAGCTTGTTTTGAGGCAAACAAAAAATACGAAGACGCTTGGTCGCTGACTTATGCAGAGTTCCCCAGTAAGTTTGTTTGGAAACAATATCTGTGTGAATGGCATCCAATGAAGAAAGTATTTTCTATAGGACGATTGTTTTATGTTCCGCCAGGGTGTGGAGAATTATACTCTCTAAGATGCCTTTTAAATATCATATGTGGACCTTCAAGCCATGAGGATATTCGCACTGTTAGGCGGGGGGGGGGGGGGGGTGGTTCATTCACAAATCATTTAGGGATGCGTGTTATGAATATGTATTATTAGATGATGACAAGGAATACATTAATGGTATTACTGACTCCAGTTATTGGGCATCCGTGTCTACATTGCGAAGGTTGTTTACTATGTTACTCACTTCAAGTTCAATTAGTAGACCCGAGGTGGTATGGAATGCCGTTTGGGAATTTCTTGTAGAGGATGCACAGTTTTATCGTCGACGTCTCATGCACAATCCAGGTACATCAACATCAAATCTATTTATTCGACATTATTATTTTCGTATCATTATATATATATATATATATATATATATATATACATATATATATATATATACATATATATATATATATACATATATATATATATATATATATATATATATATATATATATATATATATATATATATATATATATATATATATATAAACTCATTCGTTGATTTTGTTTTCGTTTCGTTTCTGGACTATGAAGATTTGTTGTTATCAAAATATGATAAGCAACAATTTGCTTTGGTAGAGTTGGAAAAGTTTCTATCTTTAATTTGTCGGGAAGAGCCTGAGCGACTATCCAGAAATGCCACTTCCAGAAGAAAACATCATTGGATTGACGGAAAACATGTTGATATATGAAGAGTTGGCGTACGACAAGGAATCATTGAAGGCAGAGCATGAAACATTTGTAACACAATTGACGGATGAACAGAAGGTTGTTTACGACTCTGTGATGAATGATATTGATTCTAATGGAGGGGGATTGTTCTTTGTGTATGGTTACAGATGAATAGGCTAGACGTTTGTGTGGAGAACATTATCTTCAAAGATAAGCAGTTGCAGAGATATTGTTCTAAACGTTGCTTCGAGAAAAATAGCATCTTTGCTCTTGCCGGTGGCAGGACGACACATTCTCGATTTGCTATACCACTCTCATTGAATGAAGATTCCACGTGCAATATATCGCAAGGTAGTGACCTTTGCGAACTTATAATCAGGAGCAAGTAGTAATATGGGATGAGAACCGATGACCCACAAATATTGTTTTGAGGCTTTGGACAAAACCATGAGGGATCTATTGAGATTCACCATACCTGGTAGTGATGAGAAAACATTTAGTGGAAAGACATTAGTATTAGGCGGTGATTTTAGACAGATTCTTCTAGTTATTCCAAAAGCAACCAGACCAATGGTTGTGGGAGCCACTATTAATTCTTCATACCTGTGGATGAATTGCAAGGTATTGAGGCTCACAAAGAACGTAAGACTACAGAGCTTAGCTTCAGAATTGAAGAAGATAAACAAACGATTGATTGGTTCTCAAAATGGATTGCACACATTAGAGATGGGATTAGAGGGTTTGTAAACAATGGTTTGTTTGAGATCGATATTCCGCCAAGGTTTCTGTTGAAGTGTGGACCTGATCCAATGGAAACTATAGTTGAAAGCATCTTCCCAACCGCGAAGTATGGAATGCTTGAAGAGTCACTAATGTCGTCTACAAAGAGGTTTTCAACAATGTGTAATTCAAAGCAGATATATTATGTATTCTTCTTACACAAATATGACAAAATTGTTTGATATTTACATATTACATATATATTCCGTTCAAATAATTTCAATAAGTAAATTACTACACAACAAGATAATGAGTCCAATTAATTCAAATCCGAAACATTTGTATATAAATTGGGGCATCAGATACGTATATCTACATGTTGGCTATTATTTCGGTAATCATTTACTCATATTAAAGCAATAATAACATCATAAAACATAATTGATTAAACTAAAATCATCAATTGCACTATATAATATTCAATGTTATAATTTAAACTATCGAATATCGATCTAATTATTATTAATATATTATAACAAATACATTCTGTGCATCGCACGGGTGTAATTACTAGTTTATAATTAATAACTTAAGAATATAAATTTGAGGGAAAAATATTAATTTTAAGAAAGAAGATGCTAATTACCCCTAATTTTGCCACTCACAAATCAACCATGTCTGACAAAATCTTAGGTATTAATTTTTTAATTTTAATTCTATTAATGTTTAGAATTGTGTGCAATATCATAAAGTGGTTCTTTGTGAGTGGTAAAATTAGAGGTGTGTAGCATAATCCTTTTAGGAAATAGTAACACTAAGAAAAATGCTACCATTTCATTCTAAATTTAGCTCTTATGATTACGCGTTAGAATATTGATTCCCACTTTTACATATATACAATAAAATTGAGTGGCTAATAGTTTGGCCAGTCGTTATATCGTGGACCGCGGTGCACGTGCATCGCGTCAAAACGGCAAACAGTTATTGTTAACGGAGCGCGTATTTTTTGATGTGTTAATTTCTAACCGATACTGTCTCACGTATTATTTTATATATTATCAAATGAAACTGCAGTTATATCAAAATGATATTGTAGTTGTGGTGAAATGAAACTGCAATGTATATAAAATGAAACTGAAAAACATTTCACATATTTGAGTGTATATTGTGCAATGAAGCTGTAGTTATATCGAAATGATCATGTAGTTGTGTTTTAATGAAACTAAAGTGTATATAAAATAAAATTAAATAAAATTTTCATATATTTGAGTGTATAAATATCGAATGAAACTGTAGTTGTGTTGAACTGACACTACAACGTACAGGGCTGTGTGTCGGACGGGTTCAGACAGATCGGGGTGACGGATAGTCACCCCGATCGGATTTCGGTTTTTGAAACAAACATCCTATCCGTTCAATTATGCCGGTTTATCCGTCGGATAATTGTCCGAAGTACTCCGACGGATATCCAGTTTATCCGTCGGACTAGTTCGGTTTTGCAAAAGTTTATCCGTCGGACTAGTTCGGTTTTCCAAAAAAAAAAAAAAACTTCTATAATTAAAAATTTTACTTCAAAAAAAAAACAATTTTATATATGTTTCACAGTTTCATGAAACACTTAAGTACTTTAAGCCCCTAACTAGTAACTAGTAACTACTTAACAGCAAAAATAACTTACGTAAACTTAGAAAACATTAAACATATAATCAAATTAACAAACTTGCAAGTTAGAACTCAAAGTTCAAAACATACAAATTTACATATTAGGTTACAAATTTAAAACTTTGAGTTTGAACTTCAATTCTTCAAAGGCAAAATAACAGCATGTCAGCATTAGCATTCAGCAATCAGCAATTCAGCATCATTCTCCAATCTCCCAGCAGGCAAGCACCAGCAATCAGCAATTCAGCAATCAGCATTCAGCCATCAGCCATGGAGCAAAAGAAAACCATAAATCCGAAACTCCAAAAGTCCAAATACCCAATATACAACTAACATATGAATATATGATTATCTAATATTGAGTAGTCTATTCTTTTTCCTAATAAGTGATAACATAAAAACATAATAAGTTCAAAATATTTCATAATTTAATGCATTGTGCCATTGAATATTGGAACAATTGATTGAGTTAAAGGATTATAGACTAAACTACTAAAGAGTGCTCATATAGCTTTTTTTTTTTTTTTTTTTTTTTTTTTTCCATATCAAGTTAGGATATTGGGGGCACTACTCCAAGAGTATGGCATAAACACCACACTTCATAGGCAACATACCAAACCAAATTCTATATATTCAGAGAACATGATGGAAGCATCATCATTGCACAATAATACTTGTACTGGAACAATTAATGGATTATATAGCAAAGACCCACAGAGTGCTCAGATAGCTTTTTTCCATATCAAGTTAGGATTGGGGGCACATTACTCAATGAGTATGGCATAAACACCACATTTCATAAGCAACATATCAAACCCAATTCTATATATTTAGAGAACATGGTGGAAACATCATCATTGCACAATAATACTTATACAGTTATACAAATACCTACTCAGAAGTTAGAACTAAGAACAAATCACTACTGATTACTGAATAATGAATACTTATACTGATACATGAGCTCAACGGCAGCAACATTTAAAATGTTACCTAGCCATGAGCACTTTCCATTTTTCTAGTTCCCAGCCTCATGAGGGACATTGATTTGAATCATTGATACACATACATGATACACTGATAGAGAGAGTCATAAATTTATCATGAAATCAAATATGTAATCACAAATTCAGAATTAGAATTCATAAAAGCAAAAAAATATATGTAAACATACAAGAATTGTAGGCAGTGAAGATCCAACTCCAGTGTTGGATGTGCTGCACAACTCTGCGAAACAAATACAAAATGAAAGTTAAAACTTAAAATCAAATAGGTAACAGTTATTATAAACATTTAAACAGACAAGGTAAAAATTATAATATGTTAAAGTATATACATTTCTCAATCCTTTCAACATCATCAATGTTTTCTTCAATAGAGATAGGTTGATTTGCTAACCTTAGCCAATCATGTGCGCACACCAGTGCCTCAACAATTCTAGGAGTTAGGGAACTCCTAAAGGCATCTAGTACCCTTCCATTAGTACTGAATGCTGATTATGAAGCAACAGTAGATGTTGGAACAGCTAGAATATCCCTTGCCATTTTAGATAAGACAGGGAACCTTTCAGATTGCTGCTTCCACCATCTTAGAAGGTCAAAAAAATCCTCCTCATCCACAATAACCTCAGAGAAAGATACACTTCCAACTCAGTTTTATCCTAGACAAATCTCCACTCTCCAATTTTTGCTTCTTAATCTGAGATTTCAGTAATGATTGAGGTCTCCTAACAGAAACAGAATTAGATATTGTTAATGAGGGATAAGATTTGTTATATTGTTCAACAAACTGGACAGGGAAGAATGCAACATAATCTTGAAACAACTCTTTAAGGCCAAGAATAACCTTATCAAACATTGCTTTACCCTTGTCCTCACCATATAACGGGTTAAACTGGATGGGCATATACTCAGTTTTGTCCCTGGGGTCTAAGATATTTGCATAGAATATCAAAAAATTCATTTTTTTCAAGCTCACCCCAATACTTATTAAATTTTGCCCTCATATTTTTACCCATCAATTTAACACTATCTTCTGTAGCTTCCTCCATATTTTTCAACAAGAAAGACAGATCAGAAACCTCAGAGAAGAAGGTATTAGAAGTCACATACAATGAACTAGAAATCCTAACAGTCATTTCATAAAAAGATTTCAGAATCTTAACCAAAGATTGAATGGATTCCCAATCCATGAAATCCGGTACACTTCCACCCAAATCAGATTTAAATGAGCTGTCATGATCTTCATAGGTTTCAAATACCTTTTGAAATAATAATGCAGTATTAAGCATCATATAAGTGGAATTCCACCTTGTAGAACATCTAGACACAAAGAATTCTTAGCTTCCATCCCAATTAGATCAGCTAGATCCCTAAACTTTTGTAACCTAGCAGGTGAGCTCCTCACATACCTAACAGCATCCCTGACTTTCTTAACAGAACTGTCACATTCTTTCAACACATCCTGTACCACCAAGTTAAGGATGTGAGCAATGCACCCCATGTGCAAATACTTACACCTAACAGTAGTACAACCCCAAGAGACCAACTTCTTCTTCAAGAATCCTAGGGCAGTGTCATTGCTGGAAGAATTATCTATTGTCACACTATACACTGATTTTAGACCCCAGTCCAAAAGGCAACTTTCTAAAGCCTTTGCAATACTTTCCCCCTTGTGGAAATAAATAGGAACAAATGAAATGATTTTCTTTTGTAGCGTCCACTCACTATCAATGAAATGTGCAGTTATGCACATGTAGTTTATTCTCTGGACTGAGGTCCGAGTATCAGTTGTGATACTTACCCTCTGACTGCTAGTTCTAAAAAACTTCTTCAAGTTCACCCTCTCATCAGAAAATATCTTGAAAATGTCTCTACTGATAGTCCATCTTGAAGGGATTTTAAACCTAGGACAGCAAACTAAAACAAACTTTCTAAAACCCTGTCTCTCAACAATCCTAAAAGGAAGTTCATCCAAAATAATCATCTCAGCTAAGGCTCTCCTTATCAAGTCTTGATCAAACACCCAAGTACCCAACACCCCTTCAGTTCCGTCACTACTTTGAGTTCCAGCAGAAGAAGGTGCAGGTTGAAATGTAAGCAGGGACTGCCTTGTATCATTCAGCGCCTCTTGGACGCCTTTCGTATTTTAAGTGCCGCGACATTCTCGACGCGTCGAAAATCCACTCGACGCGTCGGGACTCCCTGGGCGCGAAATAAATTATTTCTAGAAAATTTTGACACGTTGAGCCTTTAGTTCGACACGTCGAGCCCCTGGGTCCCGAACTTGTCCAAAATTATTCCAAACTCATTCTTGAACTCCCCTTGCTTATATCTTTGACCTAAAATGGTTCAAAAACACTAACAAACAGCGTAAAACATTCAAAACAAGTATGTACCATTAATAAATAATAAAATAAAGAATTTATGAAATTAAATTACCAAAACTATGAACTTAAGCCCAACAAATATAATTAAATCAATACTAAAAATGTCCACAATTGGTCGCACATCATCGAGTCTCACCAGCGGCAGTGTGGGAGCAACCTCTCAAAGTGAGGGGGTTCCTTGTGCGCATTGAGTAAAAGTCTAGCCTCTGTAGTTCATGTTCAGTTGAGTTATCATGATTTACATCCTCCCAGATGCTCTGTCGGGTTGGGGTTCAGCCTTTTGAAAGAATATGACCGCATAATAATTTATTTAATAATAATTTATTTAATCAACATCTAAAAACTTAATCACTTAGAATCCAAATACTACATCACTTAGAATCAAAATATAATTAGTCTACGTTTATTAAAATTCCTACTAACCATCTACTACATACTAAAATTATTATTATTATTATTATTATTATTATTATTATTATTATTATTATTATTATTATTATTATTATTATTATTATATAGATGTTAAGAGAACATCACTGCCAATGTACTCCTCGGATTCCATCATCACTCCGGCGTCCGGTGTAGCATGCGATGTAGCCCCGGTGTCCGGGTACCACGCGGTGACCTCCGTAGCAGCGCCACGATCTCCAGCGACCGAGACGTGAGCCTGAGCCGGTGGCTGGTCAGAGTACCGTCCGTAGCTATAAATGGCGGTATGGCTGTGTGACCGGCTGAGAAATCAAACACAGTGTAGAACAAAAGGAAGAATGGAAGAAGGTCTGCCTCTCATTGCTTAACCAGACACGGTTATATACAAATTACATCCTAAAAGGAAGGAAACTCAAAGGTAATATATAACAAGAAAATATTACCAACTAAATACAAAAGGAATATTACCTAAATAAAAGATATTTACTGAATATATGTGCATGGAAATATTCTTCACAATATTCATTAATACCCTCCCTCAAGTTGGTGCATGCAGATTTTGTATGCCCAACTTGTCCACCAAGAATTTAAACTGCTTCTGCCCTAATGCCTTGGTGAATATGTCAGCGAGTTGCAATGTTGTTGAAACATAGGAGGGAGAAATAATATTCTTCATAATCTCGTCTCTTACAAAGTGACAATCGACCTCTATGTGTTTCGTACGCTCGTGAAACACGGGATTATTTGCCATATGTAACGCTGCTTGACTGTCACAATAAAGCTTAATGGGTTGAGTGTGCGAAATATCCAAACTCGACAAAATCCCTCGCAACCATTTTAACTCACAAACTGTCATAGCCATGGATCTATACTTCGCTTCAGCAGAAGAACGAGAGACTATTTGTTGCTTTTTGGTCTTCCATGAAATTGGAGACGTACCCAAGAACATCACCCATCCTGTACGTGATCGACGTGTGATAGGGCAGCTCGCCCAATCAGCTTCACACCAGCCATACAATCGTAAGTCATTATCCGCCCGCAAGAGAACACCTTGTCCCGGACTACCTTTCAAGTAGCGCACAACTCTCAAAGCTGCATCCCAATGTTCATTTCATGGTTGTTGCATAAATTGTGACAAAACATGAACAGAATATGAAATCTCAGGACGGGTGAAACATAGATAAATTAGTCGACCAACCAAACGACGATAAGGTTCCGGATCCTCCAACAACCTTCCATTAGCCAATGAGAGTTTCTGATTTTGTTCCATGGGGAAGTTGACAGGCTTCGCTCCTAAAAGTCCCACCTCTTCAAGAATATCCAAAGCGTATTTCCGTTGACATAGATAAATCCCTTTCGAACTTCTTGCAACTTCCACGCCTAAGAAATATTTTAGACATCCCAAATCCTTCATGTGAAAACATGCACTCAAGTAGTCTTTGAACACTCGTATGGCATTGCAATTATTTCCAGAGATTATTAAATCATCAACATAGACTAGTACATTGAGTCGAGTAGTACCTCGTTTTAAGGTAAACAACGAGTAGTCATTAATGATTGAATGAACCCATACCTTCACAATGCGGTTGATAGTTTCGCAAACCAACACCGAGGCGCTTCCTTAAGCCCATAGAGAGACTTCCTCAGCCTACAGACAACCCCTGACTTCTCAGTTCTAAAACCTGGAGGCATTTTCATATACACCTCTTCCTCTAGATCTCCATGAAGGAATGCATTATGGACATCCATTTGATGCAGTTCCCACCCTTTGGCAGCTGCTACTGCTAAAAACATTCTCACTGTGACCATCTTAGCTACGGGTGCAAATGTTTCTATAAAATCAACACCTTCTACTTGATGATTCCCAAGGATCACTAACCGGGCTTTATATCGCTCCACTGTGCCATCTGAATTGTATTTTATTTTGTAAACCCACTTACACCCAAGAGCTTTCTTCCCCGTAGGCAAAGTAGATAATTCCCATGTCCCATTGTTAGATAAAGCATCAATTTCTTTTCGCATGGCTTCTCTCCAACGTTTGTCTTTCATTGCAGCATTAAAAGACTCTGGTTCTTGGCCTGCAACAAGAGCTGCAAGAAACTCCCGATGTTGCAAAGAAAATTTATCACAGTTCACACTATGAGCTATTGGATAAAGCGTACCTGAGGGATGCTTTGCAACGGGTGAATCGAGAGATGGGCTCAATTTATAAGCAACGTTGGTAACAAAATCATGCAATTTCACTGAGCGATATCGAGTTCGGTGTCCACGTCCTAATTGTTCTCCAGACTCAAACATGTCCCCCGAATTATTAATTACTTCTGTGTCATCTGCAACGTCATTTGCACCCCCCCTTGCTTCTAAACTCTCATTCTCAACATCTTCCTACACTAATTCTACTTGCTGTAAATCTTGGTCAACATCTGGCTCACAATCATTTTCAGATTCTTCCACACTTAACTCTTCATGCATGGCAGTGTTCTCTCCATTAGTTCCTTCAAGTGTGCTAGGACTAAAAGGAAATTCTCCTTCACAGAAATTTACATCACGTGATATAAAATATTCCTTTGTCTCTATATCATACACTTTCCACCCTTTCTTTCCGTACGGATACCCCACAAAAATACATTTTCTACTTCGGCTAGCAAACTTATCTCCCTTCGACTTTTGGTTATGGGCATAGCACAGCGAACCAAACACCCGCAAATGATCATACCGTGGAGGTTCTCCGTACAAAGCTTCATATGGAGTCTTTCCGTTCATAAGTGGAGTTGGTGTTCTATTTATCAAGTAACAAGCACTTAACACACATTCCCCCCAAAAATCAATGGGCAAACTTCCTTGAAATCGCAAAGCACGAGCAACATTCAGGATGTGCCGGTACTTCCTTTCGACTCTCCCATTTTGTTGAGGTGTTCCTGTGCAAGAGCTTTGAAAAATAATTCCATGTTCCAAAAAATATTGCTTCAAACAAACAACCTCAGTTCCATTGTCACTCCGTACCATCTTAATCTGTTTATTAAATTGTCTTTCTACCATAGAAAAAAAAATTGAGCAACACACGAGACACTTCCTTTTTATCCACGAGCAAGAATACCCACACAGCACGAGAGTAATCATCAACCACCGTTAAAAAATAAGAAGCACCACAAGAAGATTTAATTTTGTAAGGCCCCCACAAATCACAATGTATAAGATCAAACATATTGGTTGCTTTATTATTACTCAAAGGAAATTGGTCTCTTGTTTGCTTAGCACGTTGACATACATCGCATACTTTGTGCAACAAATTATTTCCATCACTAATATCAGCTACAGGTACTAACTTTGTAACCTTTAGGGAAGGATGTCCCAAACGTTTATGCCATAGCTCCAATGAACCTCCACTATCAACTTTTGATACCCTTTGCTCGGTATTTTTCGGAAGTAATAGAGCCCATTTCTCCGTTCACCCGCTCCAATCAGCATCCTCGAAG